TACCACACCGTTCTGACATTAGGATCTGTATTATTTTCTGACTTGATACGTCTTGTCGAAGTGAGTTGTAGTTGTGGAGTGGGCGGATACACGCGAATAAGGCGGAGTACACCCTACTCCACGAGGTCCCAGTTTTCATTCTTGGCAAGTTTGCGTGACGCAGTCGCACGCCAGTTTTCTGTCGGCCTGTGCACCGGAGGGAGAACGTATCTCATTTTTCCTTTTACTGTGATTTTAAATGTGAAGCTGCTACTGTTGAGCCATTTAGCTAGGAAATACTAGCTAGTTTGTTCGAGTCGTTGCAACGTGGATTTTTCAAAGGACTTTTGATAAGAAGAAGTTGATTAGCCATTGGAGGCACTTTTCGACCTAGTGGTCCATTATCTGCATCTCTTTCATTTAGCATTTGTTACAACTGCTCTTGACATTGCCCTGTTGTTCTCGTTCCATAATCTCTCTACCCTAGATACCTAATTTCAGAGATACTTTGCTTGTTACAACCTGGACAACTAGGAAGAACGCTCAAGGAACACACAAAGTGAGTTGCGTTTATTGCGACCCACGACGCAGTTCGGCGTCGGGAGGGGGGGGGGCATTTTGCACTTTCGCTGCTTCACTAGTTCCGGTTTACAAGTCTCTCTGGTGAAACCTGTGAACTCTTGTGAAGCTGGAGCAAGCTCGTCGAGCCACCATGGTAAAACCTGTCAACTCAAGAAAAGGCTCTCTAGGTGGATGGGCACGCTGAGAAGTAGCAAACGTGCGAAATGCCCCCACCCATCGCCGAACTGCCCCCGACGCATATTATTTCTTTTATGTGTTTTCATTTTAGCTGGTACATGAACGGTTCGTGAAAGACGCTACTTTATCTTGTGCTACCGCAACGGCAGTGGCGCTCTCACCATGCGGAAATTTTGCGTTTATTGGATATTCTACTGGTATGTTGGTTGTATGGATTGGAAGGATGTGGGCATGTTGGCTAGGAGGCGATGCACCAATTCGGAGTCATTGGTGAAGGAGCGCCTGGACACATTTCCAGCGCTCTAAGACGTAGGACCAACACCCCTCTACAGTGACTCTTGAATTGATACCCACCCTCCTAGCCCATATACCCAGTGGCTTTGATGCATATTCAGCTACTTACTGCTGGTTTTTTAGGTCACGTTGATCAATTCAACGTGCAAAGTGGACTGTTTATAAAGACATTCACAAAGGGTATTCAATCAGAAGAAAAAATGAGCAAGAAGGAGAAAGCTAAGGTTCTTTTTTTGATGACTTCGTAATAACTTTTGAATTGTTGCTGAGTATTCCTTGAAATGACTCAGCAGTAGTAAATTTGCAGGCGAATCACAGCAGGGGGGGGGGGGCTCGGTGGTTGTGAGTCTGCGCCTATTCACGGGGAGTGCCTTTGAAATTTCCATTTGAATACGTGTTTCAGGCAGAGAAAGCACACGAATCGAAGATAACAGCATTGACAGTGAATTCTCGTGGCTCCGAGCTGATTACTGGATGCGCCAAGGGTAGCTTGAAATTTTGGCAAGTGCGAAGTGGCCATCTCGTAGCAACAATGCGCACTCGGTTACGGATTGAACGTTCAACTCCATGCACTGCGAATAGTTTATTGGCTATAGCCTGTGCAGGAGAAGAAGGTGGGCAGATTTTTTGCCATGGTTTATTTGTACCTTGACTCTGAGATAAGACAAACTACGCGAAAATAGTTGGGACTGACAACCATTATGCCACCTTTATTAATAAAGAAGGGGAGAGCGGATGTGCAACGAGTGGTATGTGAGTGCGCCGCCTATTTCCTGCGCTCGTGTCCCTCAGTAAGTAAAGAGAAAGAGGATTTTTAGTTGTAAGGACCATATTCGCTCTGTTAGATCTTTATCCTCTCCAGGTGCTTACCGGTATGCGTTGTGGATACACTTGTGGTCGCCGAGTCGTGGCGTAAAGTTTCAACTTCTGTTTGGCTCACTCTGTGAAATGCGTTGACGTTTTCAAAAGTGATGGATGGGGCGAATGCTGCTGACCGGCCGATGACAAAAAATATAATCAGGGTACGGTATAGCTATAAGCGTGATATAGGCGCTGATCTAGGCGCAGTTCGGCTTGGTGGTCGGTGCATTTTGCACTTTCGCTAATTCCCAGTGTCATTGAGCCATCAAGTAGACATTTAAGGAATCTTGTGAAGCCATGAAGTGTACCAGTCAATTCCACTCCTTACGCCCAAATCGCCTAATCTATTCCAAAGAAGAGCATTGCAACTGAAAAGAGGAATCGATTATTTGGCTGTCATTATTGCATGTAAAATTGCATCACTGGTGGTCACTTTGAACAAGTCTTACCTAGCAAGAGGTATTGCTGTTGACCGTGTGCGCTCCTAAGGTAGAAAAAGTAATTGAAGAGAGCATAATTACTCATGGGCACGAGCGCGGCCAGCAAAAATGGACATGCAGTTCCGATTAATGCCTGTCCCCCTGACGACCGCGAAGGGTGAGGCTGTCTTTAATGGTGACAGGCACAATTGCTGTCGCCAACGTCATTGGCGAAAGGGCTGAGTTGGGTATGGCCAAATGTCCTCTCGTACCCCTTCTACCAATAAAGCTGACAAGAACCGCCCGCCTCTAGCAGTCGTGCTTCCTGTCTTTGAGTGGTATGATGCCGATGTGTTACAGTTAATAGGTCAGCTAGCTAAGGATTGCCTTACGTGAAGAGCTACCTCTTATTTGTCGCTGCAAATCACATCTGACCCATGACCTACACAACTAGTTGGTCCTAGTTCATATGTGTTGTGCTGTTTATTGTCAACTAGTTATCTTAGGTCTGGGAACTGTCGACTTCGCAACTCATAGACGTAATGCTTTTTGATAAGCCGTGTATTGGCATGTCCTTCAACAGCACTGGTGAATATCTCGCTACTGTTCACAAGGTAAGATCTCGTACTGTTTTACTCAGGGTACACCATCGTTATGTGAAATACATAGGAGGGGGGGGGGTCGTATTTGGTCGTTGGGAGGGAGAAGGAGTCGTATGTGCCTTTGAGAGAAATTTGTCACGTCGTGATTTTTCCTGTTTCATGTGCACTATATACCCCTTCCCCACCCACCCCACAAGGGGCACATCGTTGTTGGGGAATCCCCAACAAGGGAAGAGGTCGTAGTTGGGCTGGGAGTATTTACTTTGATA